CGCCGTTCGCCGCTTTCTACCGCGGACTTCCCCCTACGCCCTCCGCTCACGCGGACCTCTTCTGGCCCCCTCCAGTCCGGTCCGTCATCTCCCTATGGCCGACGGTGCGTCACACGCCGTCGACACAGCGATGACCACGGCATCGGGCTCCACACCCGTGCCAGCGGACCAGGGCCATCAGCCCCAGGGGGATCTACACACCCTCCTCACCTCCCTCCTTGCGCCCATCCAGGTGCAACTCGCGATCCTCGCCCCCATCCAGGCGCAACTCGCGACCCTCGGGCCCTTACAGGCGCAGGTGGCGACCCTTGCCGCTGGCGTGCAACAACTCCAGGACGCTGGTCGTCCTTCCTCTCCTCATCCTCTCTTTTCTCCTGGCTCTCAGTTCGGGTCCCCAGTTCTCCGACAGGGTGGCCACGACGGAGTTTCCTCCTCTGCCACCCCCGACCCGGCCATTTTGGTGACTGTCCATGCCCCTAGCTCGACGACCGCCACGAGTCAGGCCCTTCCTCAGTCTACGGGCGCACCGGCCCAGATTTCGGTTACGACGGCCACGGGACCACAACCCGTTACCATGGTCTCAACGTTTCCGGGTGCCCCGCTCCTCCCCCCCCTTCGCACGACCGCAGCGCCACCTGACTCTCCCCCCTCTGGGATGCCCCGCGCCGCTTGTGCATCCACTTCCTCCACTCTTCCCCCTGCTACCCCTCGCACGACCTACGTTCGAGGTCTCGAGGACGAGATTGCCCAGCTCCGGACCAACCTCGCCCTCTTACGCCTTCAGCCACCCCCACCCTCACAGGTGGCCGCGCCTTCGGGCGCACCCCCTACCTCCTCTACCCTTCCTCCCATGCAGGCTCGCTTTCCGCGCCCTGCACCCTATACAACTCCTTCCTACCTTCTTCCTACTCCCGCGGTTGCTGTGACCTCTTCTACCGCAGCACCCTCGCAGCCTGCCGCCGTTGCCACCGCCGCTCCCCCATGCGACCCGGGTGCACAGTCAGCTGCGCCCCTTTCTCCAGGACCTGCGCCGACTTACTCAGCCGTGGCACAGGCCTCCGCTCCTCGATCCCCTCGCCGCCAGAACGGTGGCGCACCACTCATCTGCTTGTCGGACATTGCCTTGTATGATGGTACAGGCATACGCTTGTCTCGGTGGCTGCAGTCGGCCACCCGCACACTCCAGCTCATGGGCGCCACACTCGAGACGTGGGTGGGTCACCTCTCCACGCGCTTGCGTGGCGATCCTTTCGAGGCCTGGAGGATTTCTATGCCTACTCCCTTCGTGAGGGTCGGACTCCGACCTTCGTGGATTTCCAGGTGTTCCTCAAGGATCGCTTCGGAGCCCGATACGACGTGACTGACGCCTTCGAGCGTGTCGTCACTACACGCTGGTCCGGCTCTAGTGGCGCTGCCGTCCTGGATCGCCACATCCAGGTCTTTCAGGACGCCCGCCTCGTTTGCGACGTGGCGTTCCTACCCGAGGCTGCCCTTATCGATCGTTTCTTGGCCAGCCTTCCGCTCGAGTACCGCTCCGAGCTATGGCGGTACGAGTTCGCATCGGCCCCACAGGCTTACGAGGCCGCCAGGGACCACCAGCGGATGCGAGCCCGTCTTCACCCCGCTTCCTCCTCCCAGCCCCAGCGCACGGGCTACGTCTCCTCCTCCTCTCACGGCACTTCCCAGCGCCGTTCCCCTTTCCGCGGTCGCCCCAGCCGTTCCACGTAGCAGGGCCGCCACTTCTCGCGCCGCTTCAGCGCGCTGGAGTATGGTGAGCAGGACGCTGTTGCCCCACTGTCATCTGATGGCGACCACATCGACGACCTCGATCTCTGCGAGGCCGTCCACTATCACTTGGAGGACTATACCCTCCCTGCAGCTGAGCGCCTTCAGCTCCCGCTCTCTGCCCTCTCTCGGGCACGCAGCCGCCCCGGTCACCCTGGCGCATCGTCCCCCGAGGTCCCTCAGGAGGATCTCCCTCAGGGCTTCGTCCCTCCTCGTGGTGTCCTTTCCCCTGAGGAGCGCGTGGCTATTCTGGGCCTCCGTGGGTGTTTGCGCTGCCGCTTGGACGGTCATACCTCCTCGCGGTGCCCTTACAATACCGCCCTCGACCTCCACTACGCTGACCTTTCTCGTCAGCGTCGTGCTCAGTCCCCCCCCGGCGCCTCACGTCCCCGTGGCGCCTCCTAGCCACGGTGCAGTGTACACCTGCGCCCTCCTCAGTAGTGGGCTTCCTGACATCTCCGTCGCGGTTCGGCCCTCTCGCTAATGGAGTTGAGGCATTGCAGGACTCGACAGAGTGTACTCAGCCCTCTGTTGCCGTACCGTCTGCGCCTCCGCAGACCACCGTCTCCCCTCCTCCCCCGCCACGACTACCGACGCGTCGAGCCATTCGCTCAGCCCGTTGCAGCGAGCAGCTTGCTACTCGCGAGGACGTTGTGTCCTCTCTTCTGGACTTGAGCATGCTCCAGGCTCGTCAGGAGCGACTCACCCTCCATGTCGCTGCACTG